TTCTCACTGTAAGTCTTAACATTTCTACTGCTGAAACTTCAGATTGTTAAAGGTTTGGTTGTAGAGAAGAGGACTAGGGGGTAAACTTATTCCTGCCTGATAAAATTTTTTAAAGATCTTTTTTGTTGGAAAGTCAGATATACAGAGAGGAGAGACAGAAAGGAAGATCTTCAGTCTGCTGGTTCACTGCCCAAGTGACCACAATGGTTGGAGCTGTGCTGATGCGAAGCCAGGAGGTCAGAGCCTCTCCTGGGTCTCCCAAGCAGGTGCAGGGTCCCAAGGCTGTCCTCAACTGCTTTCCCAGGCCGCCAGCAGGGAGCTGGGTGGGAAGCGGGGCTGCCAGGGTTAGAACCGGCGCCCATATGGGATCCTGACACATTCAAAGTGAAGACTATTTGCTAGGCTATTGCGCTGGGCTCAAATTTTACTATTATTTGAAATTTTTATCTTACTAGCATATTGGAAAAGAACAGTAAAGTTTACCAATTAGCAAGAGAGGACAAAAGAGATATCTGATGAAAGAGTAGTACATAAATAAGAATAAGTTGATCCTTTCAGAGAAATGTGAAACAGCCAGGTCCACAGCTTTGAGAGTCCCAGGCCAGTGCAAGAAGAAAGTGAGAGCCGAGGGCCTGGCCTGGTGGCCTAGTGGGGCTGCTGAGATTAGAACTGGTGCCCAGATGGGATCCTGGAGTGTGCGAGGTGAGAACTTTAGCCGCTAGGCTACTGCGCTGGGCCCTATTTCTACCGATTTTTATTGCTTTCAGTCATATAACTATGTTTGGATTTTGTCATGTATTTTTGAGGTCTTATTTAAAAAGATGTAATTAATTATGGTTACCACTTCCTTTTGTATCATGTAATGAGGTCCTAGTATCTTAGATATGAATTTGATACATCATAAAGCAGATTTCATGTAATTACTTATAGTATTTGTGTTTTGAAATACTACTTTAAAATTTTGCCATGGTAATTCATGTTTTTGCATGGTCGCACCAGTTATGTGTATAGACAGGAAAACACATAGATAAATGAGACAGATGTGTAGTTTTTATAAATAATTGCCCCTTTAGTGTTTCGTTTTAGAACCAGAGAATGAGTAGTACAAAGAGAAACTAAAGCAAGAATTCTCAGTAGTAGAGCTTGAAGGATCTCCGAGTTAGCAGTTCCTCCGTGATTTATTAATTTTTTTATAAATTATCCTCCTGGCATCTCTGTGCGGAGCGTTGCAGGGTTTGTGGGAGCTCAGCATGTTTTGGATGTCTTGAGGTACACCGCAAGTGAAGGGCTGTTTCTGAGGAGTTCCAGTTGACAAAACCATAATTAAATGAGTGTTATTGGCAGTATTTCTTTCTTTCTTTCTTTCTTTTTTTTTAACTGAGTCTGTAGACAAAGTCCATGTAATTGAGTATTGTCATGCTGTCATGTGAAAGTTTCTCTCTGAGAAAAAAGCAGGCATTTGTGGCTGTGTCTTCTCAAGGAAGCTTTTCTCTGTGCTCAGATGTCACTGGGCTGGGTGGCCCTGGCTGGCAGACTTACACCGTGCAAGTGTGCAGACGCTGATGGACCTGTCAGGGCCGAATTCCGCTTTTTTTTCTTTTTTACTTAGAGAAAAAATGTCTTTAGGGACTTCGCAAAGGGGGATTTTGTCTGGATATTTCAGTATTCTTTAGCTCTTAAGAATATTTCGCTGTGACTTGGTTAATGCGTTTTTACTCTTTTCAATCTTGCAATGTAGTGACAGCAGCAGTTGAGTCTCTGGTAAGAGTGTAGATAGTGTTGTCTGTAGAAATGCAAAATTTCTGTGTTTTAGCTGATTAAACTTACTTTTGGTTCCCCCTCTTTATAGTACACATGGATTATTACTTGTATCCTTGATACCAATACTTGTCTTACTTTGTAACTCATGTGGGTGTTCCTATTGCTTCATTACTGTTAGTAGTCCTTATTCAACTATCAGTTTGTGATGTAGTTGATTTAGTATAGTGTTTCATCTCTTGATATTTTGATTTCTAGAAGCAGTAGTTATGCTATATTTTACTTAGATCTGAGAATGTCCTACTAATATATAGGATCTGGTATTTAAAGACGAAATACTTTCCAAGCTGAAACTAGCCTCTCTCCCAATTACAACATGGTATACGTCTGGCAGTTTGCTTTATTAAGCAAGTTGTGCTATAGCAGTTGATAGCAGGTACGATAATAAATACTACAAAAATGAATGGCAAAGAGACACATGAATGGGTCACCCTGTGCAAAGTCTTTATTATGATATGGATTAAGATGTGAAACTGCATCTTTGCTTTGATAAATCTGATCATAATTAAATTATAACTGTACAGTAATTTGTATATGAAAGTATTATTAGTGATATCTTTTTACATTCTATTCTGTGATGAACAATTTGATTGTTTTGCTTAATGAAATATGCCATTTCTTTCTTTTTTTGGTATGAAATGGCTTGTTATTGGGACAAAAATTCCAATTGAGAAAAAATTTTCTCAATTTTTAACTGGCATACAATATTATGCTAGTTTGTTTATAAATAGTCTATTGCCTAACTGTTTTGTTTCATAAAAACCGTTAGGTAAAAGATGAAGCATGAACACTTATAGTAACCTCATTAATCCGTGAGTCCTGCCGGGCTTACCTATCTCAAGGTAACTGCGGCAGGATTCCTCCTTAGAAGGTTGTGATTGTAGAGGTGTTTTTCCTTTTCTGATATCAGTTTATGCCAGCAGTGTTCTGGTTTCCATCCTTGAGTCAGCAGCAGACAAAGCCATCTACCCACACACTCTGCACAGATGGGAAGCACTCTATACAGGTAGGACACACTCTATTCAGTAGGACACACTCTGTACTGGTAGGTATAGGTATAAAACTGTGTGTTGATGCTAAAGCCATTACCAGTTAGTGTTATAGAAATACGATGGATAGCATTCTTTTTGTTATAGATGCATAATAATCACACATTAATATGCAAGATTATTCCACTAAGAGTGGTCTGTCAGATTGAGGCAGACTGAGTTATCTGTTTTCATATTTAAAATGTATTTTCCATATTATCTGGGGCAAACTCACATGCATGGACTTTAGTTATTTTTTTTTTTTACACCAAAGTAAATTTACTTCTCAATTTCTGCTTGCCATAGACTTTTTGATGTGGTCTTACATAATTTGCTTTGTTTTCCAGGAATGATTGTGTAAAAGCTAGATTTTTATATTGATGTTTTATATTTGTATTAAATATGTAACACTTTTCTATAAGAAAATTATCTGGAAAATATGTTTAATTTGATTCCTCATTGAAGCTAGCAACAGCTAGAACATGGTCTTTTTTATGGTTTTCAACACTTTGGGGTATTAAGCAGGCAGAGCCTTACCTTCTAAAGTAAACCTTATTTAACTTTGAGTTTAATCAATATCGTTGTACATTGGTTGTGTATATATGTGGCATTTTTATAACTTAATCCACTTGTTTTTGAGCTTGTAATACCTTTGTTTAATTAGCCATAGTTTCATGTAGTCGCCATGCTGTATGGTGTCTGAGGGCTCTGATGTGTTATTAATCCAAGTATCGTGCTGCAGGCCAGGTTCTTCTTTCCTCCCCACTTTTGATTTCTTAACATTGGCCTTTGTGCCTGGCTGTGGTGGGTACTGAGCACTTCAGGTCCTTTGCTGTAGCACAGGGTAGGATGCCTCTACTGACACACACATGCACACACACACACACACACACACACACCCAATACATGGCCCAGTGTCTCTGAATGACTCAGAGGTGCCATGTCCCTTTTCCAGTTGAGAGGGGAATGGTTGAAAAATTTTACCTCAATAGCTTTAGGAACATGTTCTAAAATGGCTCTATTCAAGTGTCTTTGTTCTGTCCTCTGAGTCTTGTTCACTTTTGCAAAGACAGGGAATTTTCCTGGTGGATACGTAAAACCTGTAAAGGTCATCCTTCTTAGACTTGCCAACAGAATGAGTGACTTAAAGGTGAGAGTAGCCTGTGCAGAAGCCAGTGTGCTGTTTTCTTCCCAGCAGCAGGCTGTCTCTAGTATGTCGGTTTCACTTCTGTGTCACTGGCACCTGGCCCCCTGCAGTCCCTCTGTTCCAGGAGAACCCTGTCCTTAACCAGAATATGTATTTTTCTTTTCTGTTTCTGACCTTAGTGTAAAGAGATTTGTATAGCACTTTTTGCTCATGGTTTCAGCTTTGTATCTGAGGTTCACTGGTGGTGTTGCTGGTAAATACCAATATTAAGGGCAATTGGCAGGTGAGATCTCTATTAAGCCTTTTCTAGTAAGGGTTGAAATGATGGTTAATGTTCGTTCTTCCCCATGGGGTTTGCGTGGAGTACTACAGCAAATGTTCTCTCTTACTTGGCTGCCCCTTGACTAAGCAGAGCAAACTTCTGTTGAGGCACTCACTAGGTTTTCTGGATCGACAGCTTCTCCGGCAAGCAGTTTGGGAAGTGTGAGGTCCAAAGGACACCCAGGAAGAGCAGCTCAGGGGCACGCCATCCTCAACTGGGGGCACCCTAGCCAGTGAGTCCTGAAATTAAGCAGGCCATGATCAACTGTGATAACAGACTTGTGGTGTTTACATGAACTTCAGGATTTTTTTTAAAAGATTTTATTTTTATTATTTTTTTATTGGAAAGGCAGATATACAGAGAGGAGAAACAGAGAGGAAGATCTTCCTTCCGATGATTCACTCCCCAAGTGAGCGCAACAGCCAATGCTATGCAGATCCGAAGCCAGGAGCCTCTTCTGGGTCTCCCACGTGGGTGCAGGGTCCCAAAGCTTTGGGCCGTCCTCGCCTGCTTTCCCGGGCCACAGGCAGGGAGCTGGGTGGGAAGTGGAGCTTGCCAGGGATTAGAACCGGCACCCATATGGGATCCCGGGAGTGCAAGGTGAGGACCTTAGCCACTGCGCCACCGCGCCGGGCCCTGAACTTCAGCATTTTAATTCTGTTTAAATTCCTGTCTTTATTTGCAGAACCTTCTAGCTGAAAAAGTAGAGCAGCTGATGGAATGGAGTTCCAGGCGTTCCATCTTCCGGATGAATGGTGATAAATTCCGAAAATTTATAAAGGCTCCACCTCGAAACTATTCTATGATTGTTATGTTCACCGCTCTGCAGCCTCAGCGGCAGTGTTCTGTGTGCAGGTAATGTATGGATAGTTTTTGAATGTTTAAAACTGTTGCCCCGGGGTTATCTCATTATTTTAGGATAAATATGTAGGAACTTTTCTTTGAATCAGCATTAAAGTATGTGAAAGCTGGTTTATGATAGGTTATTTTTTAAGATAAATTGTCAAAATAATTCTAGTGTGGTTGCATTATCTTATATTGCGAATAGCAGTGTATAAGTAAGTGAGGTCACTTTTTTGTTTGCTTGTTTTCCTTTGCCAGACTTTGATGTTGTCACTGTTTCTTTTAGGCATTTAGATAGAAATGTGGTAGCATTTTGTTAGGATTTTATTGAGCACTTACCTAGTAACTGATGATGACGGGCGCTTTTTAGTTGCTTATTTCTCATGTCCTCTCAGATGAGCTGTCTGTTTATGTCTTTTGTGCATTTCTGCTTTTTGTGTGTAGCATGAGTTTTGACATTTTTTTCAATATTATTTTAAGTATTAGGCCTTTGTTAAATATGTACTTTTCAAATATATTCTCCCAATCTGTGATGCATCCTCATTACAGAATTGTTGCATGTTTTAATTTTTGTTAGGACCAGTTACCAGTCAAGTTGAAGAACAACTGATTCAGCTGTGAATACTAAATACTGTCTCAATTTTTGTTATTAAAGATTTATTTTTATTTATTTGAAAGGCAGAGAAAGAAAACGAGAGAGAGAGAGAGAGAGAGAATATGAATGAACAGATTTTCACCTGCTGGACCTTCCTCTGGGTCTCTCACTTGGGTACAGGGACCTAAGCACCTGGTCTGTCTTCTGCTGCTTCCTCAAGTACATTAGCAGAGAGCTGGGTAGGAAGTGGAGCAGCCGGGGCTGGAAATGGCACTCATATCGGATGCCACTGTGCAAGGCTCTCCTATTGTTTTTTTTTTTCCCCTGAAAATTTTATGCTTTCTGTGTTTTATAGTTTGAGATCTGGAAACAAAAATATACATATAATTTAATTTTTGTAGCTGATCTTGATCAAATAGAGAAACTTCACCTACCCCCTAGTGTCCTTTTGTTTTTGTTCTGTATGAGTTTTGGGTTTTGTTAACATTTTTTTAATGTGAATTGATAGGATTTCTTCTTTTGCTATTGATTGTTATATCAATCCTGCATACTGTAATAAATCCTATTTAATTATGTTAGATTGATTTATGCATTTTTTGGATTGTTTCTGACATCTTATTGAAGAATTTTGCATTTAAGTTCGTGATAGGTACTGGGGTAGATTTCATTTGTTGTGATATCATAAAAAAGACTTTTTTAGTTTTTGGACGAGATTATGTAAAATTAGTGCTAATTGTTTAAATGTTTCTTAGAATTTTCCAGCAAAATCATTTGGCATTAGAATTTCTTGTCCAGGGAGTTTTATGTTACATGTTTCATTTGTTTTTCCCAGAAGAAGCACTTTTTATTTTGTGGGTCCATGCGACAGGACTTCTCAAAGATTTAGTTTATGCGTCTAAATTGTTTTGGGCTATAGTAGAATTTCAGGTTATCAGTAGCCTACGACAGTGAAAAGAACCTGTTTCATTGAGACAAGCTTGTAGACTGGAAATTTTGGTGTTCTAAAAATTTTGGGATTGATCTTACCACAACGTGTTAATCACAACATAGTAATGAATGTATGTGTGGTGATGGCTACAAAATAAGCATTTTGAAACACCACACCATCAGATTCTTCTGAGTTCCACTTCTATCAATTCTGAGGCTCTGTACTCAAGTAAATACCAATGTTATTTTCCGAATTGTGCTAGTACATGTGAATAGAATGTATCTACCTTAAGGAATGGTCTAACACACTACTCAGGTGAAATAAAATCAATTTGGCACTTGGGAATAGAATTACAGTTTCGAATAAAAATATAAAAATGGCTCTTGGCTTCACAAGATATAGGTAGTATTTTATGTTTTGGCTTCTGAAATAGGAAATATTGATTCTCTATTAGTGTTATTATAAAGTACACTTCATGAGTCACACTTTTTTGTAACTAATCTAGGAACATTTTATTTACAATTTATTTCAGAGTTAACATATAATTATAGGTGGTTTGATGACAAACAAAATATTCCTAAAGATACACCACACCCTACAGGTAGCATATTTACTTAGCTTAGGTTTTTGAATTATTCGATATGCATCCTTAATTTTTTAATGGTATTTAGCTTGTCATGGCCTTAACATATGTGCTTTTTGCTTATTTAATTATTATAGCTGAATTTGTATAAGCTGTAGAATTTTGGAAGTGTCTTGGTTACGTGAGAAAAAGATTCATGCTATCAGAAAATTTTTTGTGAATCAAGGTATGATTGGAGTTGTTACAGAACAAGCGGAGGTTTATTTACAATGTTGGAAGATTTATGGACTTTATACCCAGATATTCGTACATCAATGTTGTGTGAAAAGACCAAAGGACTAACTGCTTAAATTAATGTATTCTTAGTGATTCTACAGTGATCACTAAGTTCATCACTTATACCTTGGTTTTATCTTCACTGAGGAGCGGGAGGGAATCGTGTAACTGCATCGCTGGCCGTGTAGCTTTGGGAATTCTTTATAGGGTTAGAAAACTTGACTGTTTTGTGAAGAATGTGTAAAACCAATTGATTTTCTGACCCCACATTCTGCAAGTTATGAGCAAGAACAACTCTTCTGTGGGATTACCCTCTTTGCTTTGTGCTATTAAGGGGATTTAGAGTGCCAAGAGAGTGTCTTTGAGATTGATGATTTCACAGTGAGGTGGGAGTTCGAGAGAGGCGACGGGTTAGTGTGATCCCATCAAATTCGTCCCCACTGAGCAGCTTTCTCAGAAAGCAGGATGAGTTAAAAATAAGGAAGTTTGCATAAAAAGAATTCCCAGTAAATGAGGGAATTGCTCAAAAATGATGAAGCTGAATCTTTTACGGGATAGAAAAGTTTGAGAAGCTGTGGGATTAGGGGGTTGTCTATCTAGATTATACAGTTTTTGGTATGTTGTGTTATTCAGGATGATCCTGAAACTGGAATGAAAGACTGAAGCTGATGGTAGCATGCTTTGATACTTACTGAGTGGAGTTGATACATTTGTATTTTAGCATCATATAAACTTGAAAGGAGAACTCTGTTGATTGCTTATGATGGAACCTGAGGTCAGATCCCAGGTGCCTCATGTATAAAGGACAGAGTGAATCAAAAACTTGACAAGATGATGATGGCCAGATGAAAGAGTAGCAGAGAGTTCCAAAAACATAATCCTAGTAAAAGTATTGAAATTATATTTCTATACTATAGAATAGGCCTCAAAACATATGGGAGATATATGTTTTAAAAATATTTTTGTGATTATTTATATATTAATATATGTTTATATATATATATATATATTTTTTTTTTTTTTTACTGAAAAGGTAGATTTTATTGAAAGGAGGAGAGACAAAGATCTTCCATCCACTGGTTCACTCCTCAAATGGCTGCAGTGGCTAGAGTTGAGCTGATTTGAAGCCAGGGGTCAGGAGCTCCTTCCAGGTCTCCCACATGGATTCAGGGTCCCAAGGCTTTGTGCTGTCTGTCCTCTGCTGCTTTCCCAGACTACAGGGAGGTGAATCAGAAGTGGAGCTGCTGGGATGGAAACTGGTGCCTGTATGGGACGTGGTGCTTGGAGGTGTAGGTTAACCAGTTGAACCAATACTCCAGCCCTATGTTTTAAATAAATCTTAAAGTTTTCCATTAAGAAAAAAGCAAAATTGTCTCATAGAGTCAATTTAGTTTCTCTGGTTATTTCTCTTTGAAATGCTGGTGAATGAGCTTTTGGCTTGCTTATAAGTTCTTTTAAAAAAGCATTTATTCTTCCTTCACACAGTCAGTTATTCACAAATCTCAGAATTCAATTCTCACTTCCCTGAGTGCTAACATCAAATTTCTTGTCCAAATAAAGTTGTTAATTAAGACTATTCAATACAATTCTCACCTCCATTAAAGTGTTAACTCTAAACTTCCTTTACCAAATTATACTATAGGGAGTATTCCTCTTAATTGTAAAATTTCTAGATGTATTGTCCCTTGAAGTCAATAATCTTCAGAATTTACCAAAAAATTTAGCAATGCAATATCCAATTTTTAGGTTTTGCTGGTGGATCAATTGTGAAGAAAAAAAAATCCTTATAGAACAAAATTAGAAGCCATTTGTGGAGAAAAGGAAGGTGTATGTGTAACAAAACTTTTCAGGATGTGTTGAAGATAGATCATTTTTTTGGATTCCAAATAATTGCAAACGTTAGCAAATTACAAAAGTATTTTGAAGAGGGTCGAAAATAATTTCTTACTGACAAATTAGATGTTCGCTAATGTCTTTCTTCTCTCAACTAATTAAGATTGTTTATTATGTATTAGATATGTAGAATCTTCCATAAAAGTGTCTATCTCCATACACACACAGACACACACAGACACACACACACATACTCGAAATCATCTATTCTTCATTACACTGAGACTGAAATACAGTGACCCCCATTTTTGAATGTTAAAGAGGTTAATTTGTTCAAAACTCTAATAATTTGCTAAGCTCTGATAGCTATCAGGGTATGATTTGTGACTACAAAGGATTATCGTTGAGTCCCTCTCCTAAGTGCCTTTGTCGTGTGATTTATAATTTATATCTTGCTTTTGTTTTGTCAACTAAGACTATTAATCTTTTTTAGTCTTTCAGGGTAAGGGGTCCTCAGATAGTACTTTTTGAACCTAAATGATCACTTGTTGCCAGAAATCTTCTTAATAGAAGTATGGTTTCCCTGCAGTAAGAATTTTGCAGAGAAAAGTGGATTAGGAGGATATTTGATGAACATATGATTATCTTTTTTTTCTTAGAAAATTTTACCCAGTGGCTGTCGTATCCATTGTTATCCAGTGATAACACTTGCCTGAATTTGGCATTGTGCAGGTGATTGTAAAATGGTGATTTAAAAATCCTGTCATTTCTTCTATGAAAGAATATCAACTATTTGG